AAATACTAAATATAGTTGTAACAAAGTTGTTTTGAAACTTTGATCGAAGATATCTCAACACCCACTAAGTCAAATTCAATGATTTTTTTTTTGTTTTGATTATAGAAAGCAGTAGAATACAAATAAAAAAATTGTTATTGAATTTGATCAGGTATATGTCAAGATACCTTCGATCAAAGTTTTTGAACGTCTATCAAATTTAAAAAGATCTTCAATTGATTAGCTATAGCCGGCTATAGCCAACTCTGAGTCAATAGTCGATAATAGCCAACCAATAACTGACCATAACTGACCGAACCCATCCCTAGGTACAGATATGTCTTTTGACTGCTCATGTATCAACTTATGTTTCAATACTAATTTAACAATATTAATTGATTGTTTAAAAATAATTTTAATAGCACCCTGGCAATCAAATCACTCCATTGATGATGTATCATGATGTTTTAAAGGATCATCATGTTTTCTTGGCTTAGCTGCCAAAGTGCTTGATTGTGAGTAATAATACCAGTACAATGTTTCATATTTTCCTACATATAAATGGTGATAACTTTTTGAACAAAACATGAATTAGTATAATATTAGATGTTAAGCTGTATTAAAAAAAAAATCACATACATCCATGAAAATTCATCTACATCTTTGATTAATTCGACTAATCTGGTTTATCAAACATAGAAATATTTACAACATTGAAAATGAGGCGGCGATACACTTTCTAAATTATCGTCAATTTCTATCGAATGTGCATTTAAATGCAGCATAATATAGTTACAAAGATTTATTGGATCGATTATTTCCAAATCATCATCAGTTTCTTGGCTTTCGATTTCTTGGTCTTCAGTTTCTTGGTCTCCAGTTTGGTTTTCATTTTCCGTGATTTCTAACTGTCTTTTTTTGGAATTTTTACATTCAGTCGTTCTACTGCGACAATTAGCACAAGTACCATATTGTCTTTCCTTGCCATTTGCTACAACCTTGATAAATTCGCTAATAGGTTTTGTGGTCTTGCAACCTGAACAAAAAGTTTCCATTATGTCAAAAATTTACTAGCAGGCTCAAATGGTAAATCACTAAGATTAGACGGTCTTTATAATAATATTTTATTGATTTGATTTTTAATTTTTAATTTTTTAATTTGTTTTTTGTATGAACGATTCTTTGAGAGTTTATATATTTTTTTTAGTGCATGTGATGCTTTATTATAGCTTTGGTAATTTCGACAAATTGCCACGATAACTATAAGAAACCACTACCAATTATGAACGTTCAACATCTTCCTAAACTTAGTTGACAGTGATCAAATATTATTGCCACGAATATTTCTACGATACTGTAATGCACAATTCAGTAACTTTGTTGTTTGAGCATAGCATTTGTTTGAGTGTGCATAATTTAATGTCGTATTATTCAAATATAATAATTTTAACGTGGTATTATATTTAAATATAATTTTATATAACTTTTCGGCATTTATTCCCAAAATATTTTAACATAGCATATATAGTCGTGGCATTTATTATAATGCAAGTTATTTAACACCCTAATAAATAATATAATGCGGCATTTATTATTTAACAATTATTAGCGTGGTATTTATTTAAATGTATTTTATTTACACCATCAACGATTATAATAACGTGGCTGTTATTTGAACATTAACAATTTAATGTGGCATTTATTCAGAAATATATTAAACATATTACATAACGTCAAGCCACGGTCAATAATTTTGCTTACCAAATTTAGTATTAACGCGTAATAATTGCTTTTAGCCACGTTTTTGAAAAGAAACCTCGCTATACATGCGTATATGTGCGTGCGTACGTACATATTTGCATCTTTATTCGTAGCTTATATATGAATAATTATGCATACGAAACGATAGCGATAAGTAAAAATTGATATTAAATTTTACGTCACATGATTGTATTTGATTGGATGCGTAACACATAGTCACGTGAGCGCGAAAATTTTTGGTGGCGATGCTGGAGTAGTTATACCTTTTGGTTAGAGCATGTTAATTGAAAATTATTACAAATAAAAAATGTTTTCATAATTCAAATTTTATTATATTTTTATCATTACATAAATGATTGGATCAAAAACTTTATGAATTATTATTTATTTTTAATGATCAAGATAAGCAATATCTAAAATTTTTTAAATAGTGATGCTAGAGTCTTAAAAGTTTGTAAAAACATAGAATTTTTAAATTTTTTCGAAGGAAAAAACTAGCTTTCTTTAATCGAGCAAATTTCTATTTCTATATTATTAACGTTAATAATAAAACTAGATTAGTTTCTAAAACAAGTAAATAATAAATACAAACAGAAGTTTAGATTAATTGTTCAATGTCTAATGTCTAAACCACCAAATTCCTAATATTTAGATCGAGACACTAAGGTTTG